GCCTTGCACACATGTGTGAACATTCAATTGCCTTATTTGAAAAATTCTCATTATCATATCTTTAGTTTTCTTTCAGCACTATATATGTCTCCTTCTCGTTTGTTTTGTTGTTGTTGTGGGGGCTTTTATTTTCTGTTTTTGTTTCTGCTCTGTTTCATTTTGCTTTGGGAGACACAGCTGTCCAGGCTAGCCTCAAAGTTGCCATCCTCCTGACTAGGCCTCTCAAGTACTGGGATTGCAGGTGTGTGCCCACAGATGCCACCACATTTGGCTGCGTTATGAGTATGAAAGCTAATGATTCTTCTGAGGTTCCAGTGAGGCTAGTGGGGAGGGGGGGGGTGACAGCAAGGACATGGAGTGTGAGAGATTAAGTCAAACAGGCGCTCCATCGGGAGCTCATACTCTCCACTGGCTCAAGCACAACCTTGCAATTAAGGGGTATCCTGGCTGATCAGTACTTTATATAAGAAATGTCTCTTGAGGGGGAGAGAAAAGGAGAGAGAGAGAGGGAGGGAGAGAGAGAGAGAGAGAGAAAGAGAGAGAGAGAGAGGGAGAGGGAGAGGGAGAGGGAGAGAGAGAGAGAGAGAGAGACAACCTGCAGAGGGAAGGGTTTACTTCACTTACGCTTATCATGGTCTATTATTGAGAAAAGCCAAGAGAGGACCCTGGGGTCAGGAACTAATGCAAAGACCATGAGAAAGGCTGCTCATTGGTTTGCTCTCCACGTCTTGCTCAGCTTGCTGTTGTATACAATCCAGGGCCATCTCTCTAGGAGTGGCACTCTCCACAGTGGGCTGAGCCCTCCCACATCAATTAACAATCAAGAAAATGCCCACAGACCAGCCTGATGAACACAATTCCTCAACTGAAGTTTCCTTTTCCCACGGGACTAAGCATGTAGCAAGTTGACATTAAAACCAGCTGTGAAATCAAGACGACTGTGTTCATATCCCAGAGCCCAAGTAACAATCTGGACATCAAGAACACCTCTATCACCCAGACACTGAAGGAGTCTGGGGACAGGAATGCTGCTGGGACTCACTGGTTTCCAGCCTAGCTAAAACCATGAAAGACCCAGGTTCAAGAAAAGACTCAAAAAGAGCCAGCTCTGATCATGCTCTGGTCGTTGACTGCCTCCATACCATGCATAAGCTATGGCAAAGCTACAAGGCTGCAGAGCCCGGTGTGAGCACCTCAACTTGGACACGATGATAAACTGCTGCGCAGCCTATCCCCCTATGTTTCCTCCCAGGTTGCTGCAATCCCCATTTGTCATCAAAGCCACTTCCAGCGGGAATTCCTCAGTCCTTTGTAAACTCATGTAGACCCAGGAAGAAAGCCCAGCATGGGATGAGCCTTGCTCACACCCACCTCAGTTTCTCTCCATTGTAATAAAATATGCAAAGATTGGACATTCCTCCCTGATGTGGAGTCAAGTACATTCACACACATCCTTGTCACTATCCATCTCCAGAACTTCCCTTTGGCCAAACTGAAACTGTGCCCACTAACTCCACATTCCCTGCTGTCTCAACTTCTATAATCACCATCCCGTTTTCTGTCTCCACTGCCAAGACTGTGTGCCTTGTGCAAGTGGAATTTTCTGTCTCCTTCTTTGTCTCTCTCTCATCCAGTTCATTTTCACAGACTTCAAACATGAATTCTCCCTTGGAGAGGTCATCCTTTGACCCTCTTCCTACCCTTTTCTCTCCAGGGAAAAGATCTTGTGCTTTTCTGTCTCTTCCACTGTGTTCTTTTTTTTTTTTTTTTATTAAGTAACCGGGGTAATTTTCTGGTTCTTCCATCCAGGTATGAGCATGGAAGTGCATTCAACTATAATCAAGAATGGCAGCTGCCCCCAACTAACATCTCAGAACCACCCGAAAGTTCTTATCAAAGTCCAGGACAAACCTTAACTCTTTACTCATCTCCAATGGAAATAACTTCTTGACAGGAAATGCCATTTAGCCCACTCCTCTCCTCATGTTTCCCATGAAGACCAACTTTCAGCATCCAGAGTAGAGTTAGATTTCCGGTCTGTGCAGGTGGAAGGGCTTTTGAAAATTAAAGTCTAGGAACCAAACCACACCTACTGCCCCTTCTCCCAGAAAGGGTCTAAAGTTCCACATAGCTCCTGAGAAATCAACTTCTAGAAGCTGGAAACAGAATACGTGTCATTCACTCCTTCTAACTTTCTTCTGCTGTCTTGGTCTCCTTTTCAACAGGGTCTTGTATGGAGCTGGGGCCCCATCACAAACTAATTATCTTCCTACCTCAGCCTCCTAAGTGCTGTCATGCCTGAGTCCCTATGAGTAACTTTTCATGAGCAATTCAGAGCTGAAAGCTACTGACCAAATCTCTGCCACAGAGCACACACTGAACAATAAAAGAAGGAGGCAACCAAAGCTTAGCTCTCAGCCACTTCCTCCCAGTGCCCTAGTGGTTTAAGGCCTACTTTTCAACATGAGGATCTTCCAGATCTCAGACAACGCCCTGTGCTTTTGAAGTCTCATGTGTTTGTGTTTTATTATTTAAATGTTAACTTTTAAATTAAACCAAATATAATTTTTTGAGACAAGGTCTCACTATGTAGCCATGACTGGCCTGGAACTCGCTGTGTAGACCAAGCCGGCCTTACTTTGGAAATTTAAATTGAGAAAAATCACATGTGTTTGTTGTTTCCAATATAATGTTTTGAAATATATGTACGCTATTTGAGATAGTTAACAAGACTTTACCTTGCATTGTGTGTGTGTGTGTGTGTGTGTGTGTGTGTGACAGAGAGAGAGAGAGAGAGAGAGAGAGAGAGAGAGAGAGAGAGAGGAAATCCCCCCTTTGATGCATTTTTTCCCCGCTGTATGAAGAAACATATATTTAACTAAAGCACTTTGAAACTTTGCAAACAGGGTGGAAGAAAGCACTGCAGTTGAAATCCACCTCTAAGGCAGCAAACTAGAAACCACAGAAATAAGCCCAGAGCAAAAATCAACCAGCTAATGTTATTATTTAGCTGGAACTAATTTGACAGTTATTAGGAACCATTAAGAAGCTACAAAACAGAAACTCCAGCTCTTGTTTAAGACACCAGTTGAAAGGTCTCACATTAGCTGATGGTCTGATGTAATTCCAGCGGGAAATGATGTATGAGATGCTGTTCTGAATAAGGAAGTACAACAGCAATCAAAACCAAGTTACTATGCAGCAGATGCACTGGCCGGTGTTTTTATGTTCACAGGTCTTTGGAACACTGTTAGCACCTGTGTCTTAACTGGGACCCTAGATATTCTGGAAGAAGAAAGAAGGTAGCTTGTATTGACTTTGTTGTCATTTAAGGTTGAGTTGTCAGATATCACTAATTCCTTCTCTACCCATTGAACATGTTGGGTCTTTTGCATTCCTTATATGATACTTAACTTGCCACAATTACATGTTATTCTTTAATTGTTTCATGTATACAGATCTTGCCTCCTTGTAAATATACAGCAAGCAAGCTGGCGGGCAACATTTCAGTGGGATCTTCCATAACAACTTCACTCTATAGGGTACAGCACGGGTATGTGGTGAGTGTGGGTTGGTGAACTTTGATGAGCCCCTGAAATGGAGTCACATGCATGGAAACCATGACGATCCAACATGCCAATCTTAACTCAATGTCTCGGGAAAAGCAGCATGGCAAATGTTGTCCTGCTAAGGTCTGGGGGCCACAGAAGTGCAGAGAAACCTCCAATCCTGTGGTGGTAGGTGATTCCTTACTTCATAGACAGTGTAAGTTCCATGAGGGTGGGGATGATGCTTTACTCCTTAGCCAGCGTGTATACCTGGCACCAACTTTCTCCATACCACTCTTTCAGATTAGCATTCTCACACTGTATGTTTTCCTTCTATTCCTCATTTGAAGCCAATGCCCAGAAGTTAAGGCGAAAGCATAAAACCATCCAACACAGCACTTAATATGGAATAGCAGGTGGCCGTAGTGTCCCTCTGAAGCACAGCAAGGGTGAATGTGAGGGTGGAAAGGGCAGGATGGAGATCAAGGAGCAACGTCACTGGCCAGATAGCCTTGGTCTGAGGGATCATGGTAGGGGACAATGTCTACTCTCTGTGACAGAGCAGCCGGATGTCAGATGGGGCTCTTGGCAGTGGATGGTCCCTGTCTGGCTGGTAGGTTCCTGCCAGGAAAGGCTGCCAAGCAGTTTGTGACAGCTGTGTAGTGAGCGAGTCTCTGAGGTTCTCTAGTGACTGCTATCTGTGACCCTCCCATGTATACCATGGGAAGTCACAGGGAAGTTTGGATGCTCGGGACCCAATTTTTTACTGGCTCGTATTTCACTGTGCTATGCCTGCCTTTCTGGGCCTTTAATATGAGACACACTGAAACAGGGTTCTTTTCTTCTCTTTCCAGCAGAAACTTGTTGGTTCTATATATGCAGGATAAGAATATTTAGGTTTCACTCTGTTCTAAAGCATGGCCAATTTTCAATGTAATCATACGATCATATTTACTTACTAACCTTGTCAGGGCAATTGACATCTCACATGAATTAGTACTTGGAGAAACTACTCAATTGCATAATTTCTTTTAAAGATTTAAAGGACCAGTGAGATGGCTCAGTGGGTAAAGGTGATTGCCACCAAGCCTGAAAACCCAAGTATGGTAGAAGGAGAGAGCCAACGTCCTACAAGTTGTCCTGTGACCTCCAGTCACTCACCCATCCACCCCACACTCAAAATAAATAAACAAACATAAAAATAATTAAGGATAGAGTTTTAGCCATCTATTACTTTTGAAAAAAAAAAGAACTTTAAAAATTAACACTTGCTATGTGTTTAAGTCTTAATGGATTTAACTTTTCTGTTTACTAAAAAATGCTAATTTTACCTAATTTTCTTAGCATTTCTGAAATGTGGACTCAATTTTCCACCAGCAGCTCTATATCGGATGGTTACTGAATTCTCTAAAGGCAAATATGAAGAGTTAAAACTGAAATCCCAGACATTACCTTTCAGCATTATTCGTCCAGTGGATCCTCCGAAGGTACTGAGAAGGCCGCTTCTTGCTCCTAAAGAGGTGGTTGCCTCCAGGAGAGAACCAGTGATGTACTGAGCTATGGATGTCCTTTGGAGGGTGGCCCGGTACTCACATTCGGTGTCTCGTACACATTGCCATAAGCATGGGCCGTCTCTAATCCTTCCACAGGCTGTCTCAGAGGTTGGAAGCTGTCTGGAGCAATGGAGAAGAGATCCAACCGTATCTTCTGTTTCGTCTCCTCTTCTCACTGCACTGTAGATCTGTGAATAGCACAAAGCACAGGAAGTATTAATCTAGTTTCTTAGAAAAGCAAATTAACTTGTTGACAAAATGCCAAGATGACTTAGGAAGAAAGAAGGCTCGGTCGGTCTAAGCACAAACACCTTTGAGCTCTGCACTCATGCATTAACCTGAACATTCTGCAGACACTATTTATTTGGAGAAGCACTGTGTAGTTATGAAATAGGCCATTCAAACAACTCTGCTATCAAACAGAGCACTTAAAGTTGCACCAACCAAAAATACATTCAGCTCAAATTTCTCCTCCTCCACAATGCTCTTCTGTAGAGCTACGAGAGCAAACTTTTTCCTCATCCTTTTGTATTCTGTATGACTGACCATGTCTGCCTGCCTCCATCCTTGCTTCAATTTGACCTCCATAGGGAGTTCTTGGTCCATGAACAAAGTAGATTGAGGATGGTAGGGTCATGAGGAAGGATTTCCCTCGTGAGCAGATTCTTCCCATCCTTCAGGTAGCACCAGAGTCTTTGATGCTTTTATTTTCTTACTCTTCCTTCATCTCCCATATTCAAATAGCTAGCCCCTGCCCAATCCCTGTTATGTCATTTTACTGAGTAACTTCTTCAATCACTTGTATTCTCCGTGTATGATCTGATTAGAACAGGATCTCAACCACAGCTTCTGCCCATCCTAATGTAGACTTTCAACATGCATGGACACAGACCCTGCTCTGTGTGATTCACTGTGTCAGAAATCATGGGCAAATGCAAAGGGCAAAGCATGCTGCTTGCATGGTATTATGAATAGAAGAGAAGTCCTGACTAATACAGAGTTGAAGAATACTTCAGGGAGGTGTTGGGTTGTGTGAAATGTTCTGGGGTTGTTCAGAGTCTTTCTGATAGTATGGGAGAAGTGTCACGCAGAGGGACAGCTGTAGCTTGCTAAAGGAGGAAGGAAGGGATACGACTTGACAATGAATTCATCATGACTCTTTGAACAGCTTGCTTTGGTTTATTCACCACCTCTGTGTCAGGTGTGGGTAAATGAGTTTCTCATCATACAGAGATCACAGACCTGCAATGAGTTTGTGCCAGAGTGGCAATGGATGGTGCTGTTCTCTCCGAATTTTACCTTAATGACGGCCTTTGAAAGACCCCTGTATTTGGTCCTTATAAAAGCTTACAATAAACCCAACCTCCCCTACCTGGCCCTAGCATTCAAACCCCCTGCTTTCCTTTGCATGCTGATACATCCTTGCCGATTGGAGTCACAGTGAGACTTAGCTTTGTTCTCTCTCGTTAAACTTCTGGAGAGCAGTGTGTCCAAATGAATGGTGTGTTGTGTTTACATCCAAACTCTGAGGTAATGTGTGGGGGAGAGACACCTGGTTTTGCCTGGTGTGGCCAGAGAGTGGTTGTGAACATGAGTAAGTGGCTTAAAGGTTTTGAGCAGTTTCCTCCTCTATAAAGTGGGGCCAATAATACCCCTTCTTAAGGACATTGTGGGACTCACACAGGAAACTCATGTAGCATACCTGATTTAGGGTTGAGAAATAGCGTGTATTACTGTTGGGCAAGTCTCTAGGAGAAAATGCACCCCTCCTCAAGGAATGATGGGAGGCTGTTAACCAAAATAGGGTCTACATTATTCAGCAGGATGTAGTTGTTACTGTGCTTTATGTGTGACTGGACAATGTCATCCTAACCCTATCTGGGCAAACACAGAGCTCAGGATATGTCTTCTCAAGGTCTGCCTTTTTCCTAGATGTTGATGTTATTAAAGAAGGAAGGCAATCTCCATTGTCACCCGTCCATACATTCCAAACCATACAGGCAATACACAGCACAGTAAGTCCCACTCAAGCTCCTCAAGAGTAAATGATGAAGAAGTTCAAGGACAGGAATCCTTTGTGAGAACTAAGGAAGGCTCTATAGGCAAAGCAGGGTTTGGCCTGAGCCTTGAAAAGCAGTTGTGACTCTAACTGCAATAAGTGGGAAAGGTAATTCAGGTGAGAATCCAAGTGACGAGGCTGGAAAATACAGATTCCATCCTGTCAACAGCAAATGGAGCAGGATGTGTATGGCAGAGAGTGGAGGGTATGAACTGTGCATCAAAGAAGGTTGGGCAGCCTGATAAAGGAGAGACTTAACCGTTATGGCAAAGGGTTTCAATCTTAGAGGTAGCAACCCTTGACACTTGGTATTTGTTTGCTCTTAAAAGAGGAATGAGGCTAAAAATGTTTTGTTTAAAAAGATGAACAGACAGTTCCCAGTTACTAATAGGTTGCCTTCTCCCTTTTCTTGCCAAGCTGTACTACAGGCCTACAGTGCCCATAATCATCACTTTATGAACTCTACCAATTATAATGCCTTCATAGACTCCTTCTAGATTTTTCCAATATGTTTTTCTCAAAATCTTAGATCTAAAAGGAATGATATGACATACAGACTTCATAATCACAGAAACTTGAGCCCAGTAAATAGCTTCCCCTTCTGGAGATTTACACTGCCCAACAGAATGTTAAAGACAACTACAGATGTTGTAAGGACATTTATTTCATTTTTCCTAACTGGATATTTGAGTGTTTTTCATGCTATTTGACCAAGAATTGTTTTCTAAAGAACGCTTAGCCTGCAGGTGGATGATACAATATGTTAGAATCTAATAGGCTTCTCATTTCCAGTTCCTTGATCTTGGTGGAATCCCTGAAATGCGCACCCCCCACACCCACAACTTTCCTGATGTCCTTTCTCTCATTATTCCACAGTTCCATCGTCACCTGTCCGGTTTCACTTTGTTGTTGTTGTTGTTACCACACCTTGAGGACACCATAGAGAAGTGGCAACAATGATCTAATACAGGGAGGTCACAGAGTAATGGCTAAGAGCCAGATTCAGGTATCAGATCAAAATCAGTGAAGTTCGTATGTACATGAGAAGCTTCACCATTCCCCACCCACCTAGCCAGTCTGGTAGCACTAAGTTTCCCATAAGTTATCATGGGGGCAGGGTTTCTCTACTGTCACACAGAGCAGACTGTTTTTACAGGTTGGTACCAGCTCTACCTCTCTTTAGTTATCGGATCTGGCCAATATCTGGTTGTTGGTAGTGCATATGCTGTGTAGCCCTTCCCTCAGTGACTTATGGAAAGGGACGTAGATTTATACAATAAATATGCACAGGGCTTCTCCAATGTGCCCTACATATGTTCTTCATGTGTTAATTGCTGGCTATCTATGGAGAAAAGCAGTCTATGCTCTTAAAAGATTGCATCTCATGCTATGAAAGCTGCCAGAGCAGGGAAGCAACCAATCGCCTTACCTTGCTGTGGTGCAAGCCACCATGGCAAAAATATCCCCAAGTGTGCAATAGTGGCGCTCATATCTTAGCAGTAATCAATAGCCATCTAATTTGACTTAAGGCTTACTCAACAGGAAGGAAATCATGCCTGGTACTAGAAACCTAGTCAACTACTTGGTGCTGGTGAGGTCACAGATATAAGAAGAGAACCTACTACTGCCACTTTACTAGGCCAGCATTCATTCTGAATCCTTGTCCTTATAACCACAGATAGGTGTAGCTCTCATTCCTCTTCAGAGAAGCTTCTCTTTTCGACAGAGACCATTATAGAAAAGCACAACTGTTCAAAATATAGAGAACAGTTGATCACAGGATGCCCAGCCCCGGTGGATACATCTGCAATGTAAGCTCTGCATCAAAAGTTCAGGGTGCATCTTAGAAAAGGGGATGGAAAGATTGTAAAAGCCAGAGAACCAGGAGACTGTGGTTTTGTGAGACTGTGTCTCCTAGAAATGACAGGGAAGCTTCACCCATGATATCACAACAATATGGCTGCCTAAACAAGACCCAAACAGGGGCATCAGCAATAGACATGCTAAGGTGCAAGTGGGAAATCTCACGGGGCCCCGCTCCTAGACAAAGAACTACGGGCAACTAAGGAATGCTGCAAGCTGGGAATTTGCTTTCCCCAGGGGATAAGCCCTTTACTTGGTTAATAACCAAGTAGTCAGTCTGGGATCAGATACACACAAGAGACACTAAATGAACTCAGCAGGTTGTTTATATTTATGTTTGTATGTATATTTCTACACACACACACACACACAGACACACACATACACACACGGAACAAGGAGGTACATGGAAGGGATTTGAGGGAAGAAATGATATAATTACATTTTAACTAAAAAATAAAGTAAAATAAAAAGATTGCATCTCATCTTAAACTTGAAGAAAGAGATAGAAGGTAAAGAGCTCTAAGAACGAATGTCTAATCTGTCATCATTTCTACCCCCAAGGCCCAGGAACAGGCCTCTGAGTTAAAGCTCTAGTCACCTAGTCACACCAATGTTCGACAAACAAATTTAAAACTTATTAGAAAAATGATGAGTGTGGACAGAGTGGTAATAGATAAGGTAATAATCAGGAAACATGCCCAAACCAGGCTATTACCCCTTGCCAGATGACTCCCTTATAAAAAGGAAGAAGCCTTGGGCATCTGCTACATACAGAGCAGGAAGAACAGTACTCACTACTTAACTAGGGCTTGGAGCATTGCTTTAAATCCTAGCTCCCTGTCCTGCTTCCCAGCTGTGTGATCTTCCCTGGATGGACTGTTGCTGTGCCATTCCGAACCTCAGTTACTTTCTTACAGTATATGGACACGGATGTATCTGCCTCATAAAGTTGAAACTAGAATTACAATCTCTGATAAAGGTAATGCATTGAAAGGGCACTGCACTCTACTAAACGCTCAACAGTCATTAAGTTTAGAGTGACGGTGATAGTGGTGACTGCTTACTGTGGCGGCTATAAAGTTTGCCAGGCATTCTCTGTGCATCCTCTCCTTATTAACTTTGGCTAGCCCTGCCCTTTGCTTCCCCAGTGGGAACTTACTCAAGCACAACCTTACAAAAATCTTTTTATAATAGGATTTTCTCACTCTCGTCGCTTTAGGCTTCGGAACAACTGCCACATGGAGAAGCCTCAGTTAACCTGCC